ATTCCAAGTAGTTTTAAGTAAAACATCAATCCTTGGTTCTATATCATAGTTCATATTACGATTTTGAGGCAGATACCAAAGTTAATTGAGCTGGAGTCTATAAAGTAAGCGCTCGTCGGTCTAACCCGCATCAGTAGAGGCATCAAGTCTACATTTTTGATGATAGGATGGTGAGCGAAAGCATTTGAACACCAAAGAAGTTTCGTGGATTTGTGACAAATGTCTACTTAAACCTCATACTGCGGGTTAGGAGCAGCCAAAGAATTTGTGAGCCACTGAAGCAATCTATTTCCTACCGCAGGAAAAATTGAGAAAAAATAATTGAAAGAAGTGAGCGGAGGCAAATCTCGCAACCGTATGCTGTTAGGGCACATCTAGACAAACCGCAATCGTCCGCGAAACAGCCTACGGCGGCTCCGCTTGGGCAATTAGGGGTGAGTAGAAGAAATTGACTTATGTGCGACGCGCTGAGACAGTAGCTGTTTACAGACATTGCCTCAACGCTTCGTGCAGTCCGGCCTCTCATTTTTCCCGCAAATCGAAAGTTTGAGTTCAATCTTTGAACTAAAAATGAAAAAAAAATCACAATTCACACATCATCAGAGATAAATGACTTCAAAAAATGGACGGAGCGGTGAAAAGAACAGTTGTGCCTAACGTGAAACAACAGCAGAAATTTGCGGTGCCAAAGACGATAAAAGGAGATCAAACAGGTTGCAGCCCACAACGGCAATTTTCCAGTAAGACTCAGAGACTCGAAAAAAAACATTCGTGTCAATCAACGGGTTTGAACTGAACCAATGATTTCCTGTTCACCATTTATCTCTAACACGGTCAAAAACGCGCTTCAACTTTTGTTGAATTTTCTTTCGCGTTTGTCTGATGCAAGCACAGCAGACCAAGATGTTGTTTCTGTAAATAATCCAGTAAACAACATCAAGCGACAATCGTCTGAAGTCTAGGGATTGTGTCAATTCTGACGTAGTTCTACGGAAGAGACCGGGCATATTCAGGACCAGCATTTGCGTAGATGAACACCTAACTCAACAGGAAAGGATGCGTAGTGACCCCAGGCCATTCATAATGGTTTGTATATCAAAAAATGTGACATTTAATGCTGGTTCGTATTGCTTTCCATATCTGCGAAACGAGAACCTGGATGGAGTTATAATTATTTTTTCAAGAATGAATTGCGCTACTTCGGAGGATGAAAAATCATCAATAAAAATTTTTCTTTCTTCTTAAAATGCTGAATATGATTTAGTTAGGTATAAATAAAGCGTTACACCTTTCAAGGTTCACCTCAATAGCTTCAGATGTAAATTAGAATAAATTAGGTGATTTTGACTACCTAAAAGTACGCAGACTCTCTATGAAAAAGTTCGTAACTGCCTTCAAATGATCGTTTCGCAGATTTCAAGCAAAGATTTAGAATCAGCGTTTTGATGCACCTTATGGTATGCATCGTATTTTAAATGGCCGAGCTCACCAAGTATCCTTTGTTAGAAAGGAACGAGTGAAACCGACAAGTCCACTCGAGAAATGTTAGCGAATCTCGACACTAACAAATCTCGCGATAAATGCAAGATTTTGTATGTTGTCTGTCCGTGAGTACTATCTTCTATGATGCATTGCATTATGCATTATTGCCGAAACGTCAGGTTGAGTTAATAAAACATAACAAACCTTTGTAAAGCATCATAGAGGATAGTACTAATGTCATGTTTTAAGCTATGAGAGTAAGACTGCTGCTTGCAAAGCACCGAAAATGTCATTTATTATTTTAAGCCGGCCAAAGCTGATGATAAATATGAACAGCTTTCCATCACCAGCGTTTTCATATCCTTCACATCGTATTGCCAGTTGTGAAGTATCCACGACTATATAAGCTGCCTTGGAACAAATCACTTCTTTGTCATCAGTGTGTGGACCGTCCAAACGGTGTTATTAAGGTTGTTGAGCTGCCGTGGCATGAGAAATGTGCGCCCATTTGGAAAGAATCAAAAGTAAATTGAGATGAACAAAGGTACCTGGCGACTATCTTTGGAGTCTCTGTGGAAGACATTATTGCCAAGAAGAGAAGCGAGTGAAGCTTGTAACAAACTTTCATGCCAAAAAACCATCACAAAAGATATTTGTCACTACTGCAATGCTCAGTTTTACCATTTTTTTCGCGCAACAAATGATTTTTGACATGTTGTCGACGGTGTCGCGCAATGGTGCGCGGTATCGCTTGTTCCCCAGCAAGATTCCCATAGGAACCACGTTATCTCGCTGCCTTTCGCTCTTTTGAACGTGTTGATCTTGGGCAGCTCCGTTGAAGTATCAGGATAAATGTGTCAAAAAGAGCGAAAGGCAGCGTCGCATCACGTACGCTCGCTGTTCACATGGGAACTTTTCTGGGGCACACAGGACACCCTAAATAACGATCAAATGTGCCCAATCATTTTGATTCGCGTTTGTATAATCAATCTAGGCTCAGAAGTAATTGCCCCGCTTCTTTTTTGGCAAACTCCGCCCACTTTGCCAACATCTTCAGAAACTTTCTTGTGCTTAAAGCGCATAGAAGAGGCCGTAGGTGACTGGAAAAATTGACTGGGAAAATTCAATCGTCCTTAACCTCGGTCTCGCCCCGTCAGGCAGGCCTCATATAAAGCTCCGCCCACTTTTCAAAAATGCCAGAATTCGCACAAACTTAAAAGTCGAGCAAGTTCCAGCATTTTTCCCTGAGTGGATGGAGTTTGCCACAAGGGAGCGAAGCTGCCCGCCGCTTCTACATTTTGATTCAGGTAGGTGAATGCCTATATGCATGCACTCAACCGTAGAAATGCACGGAAACACGCTGTCCACAGAGACGGACATGCAAAATAAGGCTCGTAGTCTTTTGTTAAGACATTCCATACCTAAATAATTTTGCAGTATCAAAACATATCTATTGCCTCCTACTCACCACTCTGTATCAAGTTGTTGTTTTAACCACGTAAAAAGCTCCACTTGAATTGGCACGGGGAACATTATTGGACAGGCGGAACACGAGGGACCACAGCTTACACATTCGTACTAAGTAGTGCAGCAGTTATAGAAGAAAAGATTTTGATGCCGACGCTGTCCTGCCTCGTAACTAAACTTTGAACCAATAAGTCTTTGGGAGACACAGGACAAATATTAGGGTGATCGGTAAAAAAAATGGGGGCACCAAGAAAATAAATGTAGATTTCTCAAAAAAGAAAAGTGTTTAAATTCCCGGTTTTGCTAGATGTTAGAATAAATTATTCTCTTTCAGAAAATACCTATATAAAGTCATTTACATACCTAATAATTTTTATAGTGGCTGAAATGCAAAGTTAGTCATTTTGACAAATTATAAACTTCGGGCAGTACTTGCGCAGTGGAACATACGAAACCATCCAAATTACTACTGCTGCTATGCGTGAAGGTATAGTCACCAGACCCACGATGGATTGCTGGCCTCAACTTTCAAATTCAGGAGATATGGCCATTAGCGCTTTGAGAACAAAGATACGTGCTATTCAATTCTTTGCAGGTGAACGCAAGTTTTATAGGTACCATCTGAAAGAGCTTTTTGCGCTCTATCCATCCATATATATGCAGCTTACCTCACATTTTATCTATCTCTCGGAAAATACAGATTGAAATTGATTTATTGGTTTTTGTTGCGCCAAAAAATCGCGATTTTTCAGGTATTTCGCTTCTTCTACCCAGATATAGAAAAAAATCCTGTTTGTTTAATATATTGTTTGAAAGAGCATGAAGAGCTCTTTCGAATGGTGTATCAATTGCTCTATAACTTTGAGGTATGGCAGCGCAAGAATGAGCAATGTTCAAAAAACCTTGTTCGAGTTCATCAGGGCGCCACGCCTGGGGTTGTGGAAGAGGAGCGTTGACGCTTTGCCAGAATAATAGACGAAGGTCGCTTATATGAGCGACGTTTACGTTGCAGCCTGTTTGTTGTTGATCGAAACATAAAATCTCAAAATTTCATAAAAATCAAGCTGCCCCATTTTTTACCGATCACCCTAATATATCCACTGTATCCACTCCGCAATGCCGCACTACTGGTTCCATGTGATGGGCAAAGTGAGTATGTGGCTTGTGCCAAAATCTGCGTTATTTGTACATTATTATCACTATTTCTGAGCATGTCGCTCCTTTCAAGCTTATTCGGATCTAGCATGACAAAAAAGAACCTGCACTACTACGTTGCTGCATTTGGAAGATGTTTGTTCACAATGAGCTTATCCGATGACTCATGCTTTTGAGGATAGCGATACAAAATAGCGAAATTGATTTTCGTCGCTCTATTGGTAAAAGATTTCAGAAACAAACTTTTTGAAAAAATCGGCTATAAAATATATCGTATTGCGGCTATTTATTTTGTGTTCTCGGCGTCATTGCAATGTGACTAAAAATCGCCGAACTTACGTGTCTTCCGAGTTAGATCTAGATGCTACCCCACCAAAATCACATGAATGGCACTGAATAAAGGATATTATTTCCACTTTCAAGCATCGAGAACCTAGTTGACGCAAGAAAAGTTACAATTCTGTACATGAGGATGTTGATCATGCTGAACTTTCTAAGCACCAAAGTTCTAAAAAAGTTTTGTTGTTTCGCACACAAAACATAAACATATATTCCCTTTCTTAGTTTGCGTAACAACACAACCTTTGTGTCACAGCGGCATTTATCGTAGAATAAGTATTCTTGTCGACGAATAGCAAATGTTTCATCAGCCTAGAATTTATGAGGATATGATGATTGCATAAAATTATTCCATAAATGGTGATTTTTTTTAATTGTAGTCATATACAGCCAACCCACACGTTATAGCCCTCTCCATTTATATAGAGCTTATACACGAAGAAGAGCAGTAACAACAAATACCACATGTATCCTTTCATTCAGGCCCATTATCATCATTTTTAGCTAGAAGTTTGTGTAGTTTATGTATAGCAGAATGTACACTGTCATTACAGGAGATGAGTTCGCCGCAGTTGATTGCTTTCGTAAGTTTTTAAATAAAATGGTGCATTACTCTAGATCAAAATCAAGAAATAATGGACTCGAGTTGCTGAGAAAAAACACTGCTTAATGGTGAAAATGTAACTCTCCTCCCTAGAAGCTTTTTGCTTACCTTCGGGTACCATTTTGCAAAGCTGGTTTATCTTCGATTTACAATATGGAGTGAATCACCAATCTCTCTTCATTGCTGGTAGATTACGGTAACAACCTCAAAAATGCATTGAGCGATTGATGGTCCTATTTCGTTCCAGAAAACAAAACAAACAACCTGGAAACTCTTAAGGCTGATTAGAGTCGTAGAAACTGAATTTGAACTTTGCACTTTACCGCGATGTTTCTTTCATGACTTATGTCAAGGGTCGCAGAAGCTCTCATTACAATGATTTCTATGTGACTGCAACATTCTAAAAGCTTTACAAACTCGTGAAAAGTTGAGTAGTGAAATCAGAGCGCCTAAAATTTCTAATGCGCAACTTCTCAAACTTTTTGGAATCTTCTTGAAACAGTTCAATCCATAATGACGCTCTGAGCTAGAATTTTCTTAATCGTACATTAACAAAGAGCTTTGCCCCATAATGTAATTCCAAGCTGAAGCCAACTCTATAAAACGGCACCTAAAGTTAAGCAAAAGACTTTTAAAAAAAGGAGATATATAGTAACGATCAAACAGTGAATGCATACTTTGGGGACAGCTTATATTGTGGAAACGGTAAGAACTTGTATTGTGAAGTACCAGATACGGATTACGCTGAAAGCGAAAATCTTGTATTTCCCATGGACGGTAGGTTCATAAAGAGACATACAATACCGCTCTCAGAACGTGCAAATTTCCGTGAATGTCGCGGAATTCCCGGAATATCGCCATAACTTCCTTCGGAATGCATAAATTTTGGATCTGAAACAAGGGTTATACTCAGCTCATTAAAACGAATCCTTTGGTACCTTGTCCAACCGTAATTCTCAGGGCACGATTGGTGCACGGTAGGAGATAAATTGCGCTTCTTGGGGGAGGGGAGGTGAACACAATATTCGTGTCCTGTGCTCGAACCCACCCCTTCTAGTAATAAATAGATGCTTGAAGCTACTAAACAAACAGAAGAGGGGAAAAACAACATCGACGGCATCATCACGGCATGTTCGCATATTTTAGAACTAGCCAACCCAATACCACTGATTACTCTCCCCTCCCCCCCTAGAATTTGAGAAAAATCGCAAAAGGATTCACTTGCTGCCGTACACCCACCTCCCCTCTCCCAAAATGCAAAATTCATTTCCTACCGTGCACCAATCGTGCCCCGAGAATTACGCTAAGGTAAAGAACCAAAAGATTCGCCTTAATGAGCTGAGTATAAACCTTGTTTCATATCCAGAATCTATGCATTCCGAAGGAAGTTATGGCGATATTCCGAAAATTCAACGAAATTCACGGAAATTTCGCACGTTTTGAGAGCGGTATTGTATAGAGTGCCCCAAAAAAATTACATTGTTTAACCGTTAATAACTTCCTTGCTTACATTTCTTTCGTCGATCTTTAGGTACCATTCTGTAGAGCGAAGTCCAACTTAGATTTATAGTATGGAGCGAAACACCGATCAGTCTTCGTTACTGCGGGATTACGGTAAGAACTTGTAGCATATGGTATCATTGTGTAATACGCCGTCTGACAAAATTTTTTCAAAAATCTGAAAAATCGTGTACTAGGGTTTTCTCGCACGCTGATTCCACTACGCAACTTTTCATGGGTGTTTTTAGCTCTTTGAAGGTGTAATCGCATTTTCGACAACTGCTGGGAATTCAGTTTTTACGGTTTACCTGGGATAACTTAGGAAACAAGCATCACAGTAAAGTCTAAAATTTCAAACTCGAAATTAGCGGCATCCATTACCATAGTATAAGCTTTTTGGCTTGTTTGGTATTGTTCGAGGCAGATTATGGCTTCCAATGCCCTGAAATCCTTTCGAAGTTCTACCGTAATCTTACAGTAATGAAGAGCGGTAGATGCTTCGCTTTTTACTGAATCTAAGTTAACCCTCGCTCTACAGAATGTACCTAAATGTCGACGAAAGACATCAAAGCGAAGAAGTTATTATCAAACAGTGTGCACATTTTTTTTGGGACACCCTGTGTAAGTATCTCTAGCCATTATTACTCGTTCCTTTACCACAACATTCCAGGTTTTATTCATTGCATTAGCAGCTACCAATGCCTATAAAAAGCGTGAGTTACCCGACTGCACCTCAGTCTTAGCTTTTGTTTCATCTGCGCCATGATAAATCTCTTCTTTTGATCTAGCTCACTGCTCAGATGGTAAAATGACGGACAAAATACGTGACTTGTTTTTGAGCTTTCACAATGACGCTCGTCGAAGAGTGGCTCAAGGAAAAGAGCCGAATAAGGTCGGGAAGTTGCATCCAGCCAAGAATATGTACGAGCTGGTGAGTATAAGTGACTTCTACGAACGTCATATTATTAGTTTGGTCCGAATATTCTTGCGCATCATTTTCAAAAAATCATAACTTATATATTGGTAACTTAATGGATTTTTACGAAGGTATTTTTTTTCGAAAGCACACATCAAGCTCTTTGCAGCAATAAGCTTCCGGTGAGATTCGAGAGCTAGAAGCAATTGAACGAAATTACTCATTGGCATTTTTCTTGCAGGATCACGAAAAATTCTGAAAGTACTTTTGTTCGAAAGAAAACATTTTGCACATTACAGTGGCAGCTTTTTCATGGAGTAGTATGAGATGAAGCAAATGAAAAGAATTACTTCCGTTTTGCATTTTTCAGCGTGCTCAAAATAACTTCAACGTACAAGCGCCATAAGCATGGGTTTTAAGAGCTCCTCTTTTTAGCTGAGCGAAATCCGTGCCGATAAAGAGCAGTTTTGATTTTTGTAGATAACGCAGACACGAAAATCTGAAAATTTCGCCAAAATCAGAGCTCAAAACTGCTCTCGAGCACGAAGCTCGCTCACCTAGAATGGGCAGGTCATAAAACCCATTTTCATGACTGCTTCGGTCTTCGCTGTGACGTTTAAAGCTATTTTGAGCATGCTGAAATTGCAAAATTAAAGTAATTCTTTTATTTGCTTCTAACTTTCAAACTCGAATCTCGTACTAATCCCGAAAAGGCGCCACTGTAATGTGCAAAATTTTCAACAAAAGTACTTTCAACTTTTCGTGATCCTGCTTGAAAAATGCCAATCTTGTGTAATTTTGTTCAATTGCTTCTATCTTTCGAACTTTCTCATAACAATTCATCAAAAGTTAACTGCAGCTTGGTTTGTGCATTCAAACATAATTATTTTCAAGGGAGTCCGTTGAGACACGAAGAAGTTCTGATTTTTTGGAGATGCGGCGCAAGAACTTTGGGACAGCCTGATTTATTAGAACATCATGTACAAATACAATCTGTGAATATGCAGTACAAAGGTAATATTTTTCGGAGGAGAACCAAATTACTGACACTTGCATTTTTTTTCACTATCAAACACTGCACTCTGCTGTTTTCTGCTCGGAGCAATCCGTTAGTTAATGAGTATGAGCAATGTTCAGGAATGGGATTGCAAAATGGAGCAACAAGCGCAGAAAGCCATTTCCTCTTGCTCTTACAAAATCACAAATTGGGCCAAAATGGGACAGAACATATTGATGTAAGTCTACTGCATTTCTGGAAATTTTGGAAAAATTTAGATAATTGCTGGATACGTGAACAGGCACATTTTGTTGACAAAGGATGGCGATTAAGGAAAACTTTCATCGGTGTAACTTCTGTAAACCTGGGCACATTCCAAATGGAAAAAATTTCGATGTGCACTTCATAATCTTTGAAAATCTCCAAAGCTTTTGGTCTTACGAATGTGTTCAATGATCATGGTACAAAGTCATTGAAATCAAGCGGCTATAAGGAACGTTGATCTCTTCCGCCTTTACTATTTATTGCTATGCGCACCAACGTATCATTCACTCTATGACTAGGACGCTAGACCGCTTTGCATACATTGTCTAAACAAGCCTAATCGTGTATCTAGCAGATTTATACTTGTTATCTATCTAGTCCAGGTGTATTCACTCTCTTTTTGGGAACAGGGAAGAACAAACTCAAACTTGTTAAAACAATGTCCGCGATGCGGTTTCGCGTCTCCTAATCATAACATAGATGATACATGATGACTTAAGTATTCAGGTGGACAAGCACCGGCGGATTTGATGATCCAATCAAAGAAATCAAATCAACATTGGATATGTGGTGGGGGGAAGCGAAACAGTATGGTGTCAGTGATGCAGAAAACAAATACACAAGCAAAAACATATATAACTTTGCCCATGTGAGCGCTGCAATCTTCCGTTTGTTAGAATAAGACAGGTTTGATCGCGAGACGAATTTTCAGATGGTTCACTCTGAGATAACAAAAATCGGCTGCGCTTATAACATCTGCAAAAATAAATTGGTCGTCACTTGCCTCTACAACGACATGTAATGTTCTACTTTTGCTAGTAAAAAATTAAAAGCGCTGCTATAGTACTATTTAGTTTGTACTTAACTTACAATATGTGGGAGACAGGAAGAGCTTGCAGGACTGGTGCAGATTGCACCACTTACCCCAACTCTGGCTGCTCTTCTGGGCTCTGCACAAAAGGAGCCGATGTAAAAGGTTCATAGCGTTTATATAGTACTCTTGCTCAAAAATATGCGACCATTAGGGACCCGTCATACTCAAAAGCGCGCCCCAAAAGCCCAAGAAGGACAAAAAGCCCGAAAAAGCCCAAAAGAGCTGAAACGAAGAAACGAATTTTTGGTAGAATTCTGACATTATTTTGATGTGCAGACGACAGAAAATGAAGCAAAGGACTCGGTTACGAAATCAACGCACATGCCTTAGCGCCAGAACGGAAAGAGGCGTTCCTGCTCTCTTTAGCGCTTTGGGCTTTTTCGGGCTTTTTTTTGGCGAAGTATGACGGGTCCCCTATTGATATAAAAATCAAAAGTACTAAATTTGAGATCTTTTCATGCTAGAAATTCGTCGCAACATTAGCACCTTCGCTGCGGACAGTTAGCTAGGAAATCATGAATGTCTGTTTTTGAGTTATTCTAGTGAGCCTTATTTTAGAAACCAATCATATGTGTCCCAAAAACAAAGGAATGACTGACCGTGCAAGACAAAAATTCTTAAATCTTCACAACCATTTCAGGTAATTTCTATAATTCAATTAATACTCAAAAGTTGACCAGAACAGTGTAAGAAAATGATCAGGTAGCTCCAGGGTATAAAATTGCAGGTCAAGGGCTGCTCGTGGTCTAGAGCCTGATGCACTGGGAGGAAAAACTCTCAAAGCTTCCAAGATGCTCAAAATGGTAGGTGGGCGATGTGTGCTTATCAAAAATTCGTTGATTTTTCAGGTCTATGACTGCGCAGTTGAAAAGAGTGCATTGAGACATGCCAACAAATGTGTTTACGAGCACTCTAAGTCGGAACGAGAAGGACTTGGAGAAAATCTTTTCATGTCCAAAACGATTGACTTGGATAAAGTGAAGGCAGCTAAGCAGGTAGAAAGTATATACCAGGCTAGATTTGCTAGTGTACAACAACAAGATCAACATAAATCAAGAACAGGCCTTAGAAGTGTGATATTTGGGTTAGTCTAGTCTTCTAGTAATGCTGTCAAAAATGTTACCAGGAAACCTGAAATTCGACCTCCGCCCGCTTTCTCCAATTCTCCGTCCAAGGAGTGCTATCTGACGCCCTCTGATCTTATAAAAACAGCCAAGACATAGATACGTCACTCTGGGTGTATGTCAAAAGGCGCGATTTTTATTGCCAGCTGGACATCAAATTGCACATTTTAAATGTTTAATAATGTTCTAGGGCCTTTCAAATTTCTGAGATTTATAGTAGATCGTTGCATGAGTTGTCTGAATCTTATCATCTTAAAAAAGATCCAAAACAGAAACTTTGGAGGTCAAAAACCCATGAAAATGCAAATAATGGCTTTCGTGAATATTTCGATCATTTTTGCAGCAAAAGCCGTGAAACTCAGTAAATGGTAACTTTGAACGGCAGCTAAACGACTTTTTCTGGAACTTTTTGAAAATTTGTGTAGTGCAGAAATGGGCTTTTGAGTTGGTGACAGCCAAAGAAATCGCGCCTCTTGACCGTCTCCCCGTCACTCTCAGGCCCAGCATGCGTTGGTTCTAAGAATTTTTGAAAACAAAATTCCTCATGACTTCGCAATTTTTTACGAAAACCCCACTGATGTAAAAACTAGTAAGTAAACAACAACAGTTTCAAACAACAACAACAAAAACAGCTGTCGCCAGCTTGAAAAGACGCCTTGGCAGGCATGTGAATGGAGCGCCATTTCTATCAATGCGTTTATCTGTTTTTGCCTCGAAAAGGCAATGGTTTGATTCGCTCTGGTCACTATATGATAGGTTTTCAAGCGTCGTCCAAAACGAAAAGGTTTAAAACTTATGTGAAGTCTCCATTACTTATGCTTCGAACCAAGCCAGTTGGTTTGGTGATGGTCTAGAAACCAATAAATTCGGGAACGGGTACTAAAACACAAAAGTGTTAGAAACTTTCCACGTAATATAGTTCGGAGTAATATTGTATACACATAGCCCAAATCCGGCATCATTTGACTGCTTGTGCGCTTTAAACTAGCCATTTGCTTATTTGAGCATTATTTTCAATTTGGCACGCTTGATGAAAAAGAACGCGTTAGAGCATGTCTTCACTTATCAATTTAGTGGTTAGCATATTTGGAGGTCACTCATATGTACAGTCTGCTCCAATCCTAACCAGGCCAAAATCGGCATGGCGGGAGTCCGCGCCGCGAAGGTTTCGCGCCACATCTGCGGCTAGCTAGTCTGCTCTCTCCTCGATCTCTTCACTCTCTGCGACAGCGCGCGTATGCAACGCAATCCCCTAGCGCTGCGAGCGCGCAAATTCAGCCGATGGTTCGGCCTGATCCCGATTGGGGCAGACTGTATCATCGGCTTCCAGATTCGTGGAGGTAGAGTCTTGCCAACTCACCGCATGGCGGTTTTTGCTAGCGAGAGAGTACGAAAAGCAATGCTATGACGTGGAGGTTCAGCAAGTTTACCTGTGTCATCAGACAAAGTCTGCAATACACCTCCACAGAATCTGGAAACCGATCATATGTATAGCTAATTTTCCGATACACCCTTAGTTTTCACCAAAAAACAAAGTTCAGTTCAATCCCAAACCTGTAAACTGCTTGTTTTTGCATTCGATGAAAGTAACGCGAAAGTATCCCCTCGTGCTTGCCAAACTAACAATGATGTATCAAAAAAAGCGATTTGTGGGTGGTTTCACCTATTTTGTTTACGTTTCATATCCAAAAGTAGCGCCATGGAAAGCGCAAGGAAACGGTTAGAACTCAACCCAGCCATTCCAAGCCATGAATTTAAATATTTGTTTTATTCGCCGGACAACTATCTGGAGGGAGTTATGAGCATTCAAGCATGAGAAATCATTGGGGTTCAATGATAGTTCACTTCGGTCCGTTACAAGGCAGCTGGATTATGGTAATCAATTGCAAGGAAGAACCACATTCACTTTGATAAGTGTTTTTAGAATGTTTCCTCTCAATGCGCTTCGGAGTACTTGACAAATCCCCACATTCAAACGCATAAAACTCCTTTCAGCTACGTTCTATTTCACATAAAAAGTGCCCTAAATTGAGTACACACTGTTTAGTCAATAACTCTTTTCTCACAAAGTCCCTTATGTTAAATACCATTCAGTAGGGCAGGCTTCAACTCAAATCTGCAGTATGAAAAGACTATCAACCTTCGTCACTGTAGGATTGCGATAGAAACTTTCAGCATTGAGCGATATCATGAGATACGGAAGAAAAGCTGGAAGAAAAGTTTTAAACAATTTTGAAAAGTTGTGTTTCGTGTTTTTAGATAAGCTGATTCCATCGAACAACTTTTACGAGTTTTTTGAGTTCTGTATGATTTTTACCACATTTTCGAACAACGCGAAAAAGCCTCATTTCAGTTAATCTGGATCAACTACGATAAAAGCTTTACGGTAAAAAGGCGATTCTCATTTTGATAGTCAAATCAAGTTAGCCTAATAGTAAAGTTTAAGCTTGTTGACCATCCGTTACTACTAATAATTCAAAACCCTCGCTAAATCCTAACGTAATCCTACAGTAATGAAGAGAGTTGGGTGACTCACTCTATATTGTATCTAACAATAAGGTTTAAGCCTGTTTTACTGAATGGTGTCTCAAGCAAAGCAAGGAACTTTTGGGGAAGAGAGTCATTAATTGAAAAGTGTGTATTCAAATTTAAAACACCCTGTGTATGAGATCAGCGTTTGAAGACAAGTTCGATGATGCACAACTTGTGGGGAATAGTTGGGTGTTAAGTTCTGATCATTCCGTTAGGAATGTATCAGGTCGTTGAGAAAGTTCCCAAGCGCTTGCAAAATTTCTTTCCAAATCGATGTAACTTCAAGTAGATTGAATATTTTTCAAGACTGCAAACTTCCGGTTTTGTCTACAACATATATTTGTCTTGCTGGCTTTTCAGAACCTCACTGCAGTCAGGGCCCGGCACAAGGTGGGCAAACGGGGTTTTTCAAAACGAATACCCCTTTGATCCCAGTAAGTTTTACGAATACTCCCTTGAGCCCAAAAATGACGTTTTGTGCTTGTGCGACGAGATTACCGGCCACACTTCGCCTAAAAGCGCTCAAAAGCGCCCAAATTGCTCAAATTCCTCATACTACTCAAATTGCTGTACCAAGATAGGAAACAGGAAGAAAAATAAGCAGTAAAAAGGATTAGGGAATGAGAAAATATCGAAGAAACGCAGTCATAGGAATGAGAGACGCCGTTCCCGCGCGTATCGATTGACTGGGGCGCGCTTTCTATCTTAGAAAGCTGAGCTGCTGATGCCATTTTGGGCTCCAACAAGGACAAGAGGAGGAGTTTGGGAACCAAAATTTCACCATGTAGTAAACTTTAGGTGTACAACATATTTATGTAAAAATTTTGAGAAAATTATGTGAATTGAGAGTTTTGCCGACCTCAGGTGGGAATTAGGTCGGCAAATGCCGACCTAATTTGGAAATAAGTTAAGGAAACTCTTCATTCACATAAGTTTTTCATAATATTTCATACTTTATTACTTAGTCCTAATGCGCATATACACACTGAAGCCCGCGCGATTTCGTTACCTCTGCGTTGCAAACGAGCCATTTTTCCATTTCTTTGGTAGCGCAAAATTTCCAGAAAAAAGTTTGCCACAACCTTCAGTCACATAATTTCTCAATGAAACTCCTCAGTTAAGTCCTGCAAGCCCGTGTGCATGTACTTACCAAGTTTCATACCATATCGTTCATCTGCGCTTTCCAAACGAGCCGTTTAAATTCACATTTTCATTTACCAGTTTTGCGAAATTCTCGGAAAAAATGCTAATTACTCGTTCCGTTCACATAAGTTTTTCATAATTTTTCATACTATGTTTCCACTAGCCTCTGTCCGTTCGCACACAAAATTTGGTGCCATATCGTTACACACACATTGAGAACTAGTCATGTATGCAGTTACAAATAGCATCGCTTTGGCGGTCGCGCGTGCGGCACTTAGCGACGGCGCGGTTTGACGCGCGCGAACTCCAGTGTTCGCCTGTTGAGGCACATAACATGTCAAGATAAGTAGCGAGCATGAACTACCAATTTTTTTCCGGGGCTCTGCCCCGGACCCCGCAAAAACGATTTCCCCTTTGCTTTTTGGCCCCAGAACGATTTCCAGCTTGTCATTTGCCGACCTCGTGCCGGGCCCTGACTGCAGTCCACCAGCACGCCTAAAAGGAAAAAGGTCGACGCGAAAAGTGGCCTATTTGTGCAAAACTATCTCAGGCACAGTGAGAGCTGGAGAGCTCAGATGCCGTAGTCATACAGAAGTTTATTTTGACTGTTATGGAGCTAATTAAGCTTTTGAGCGACCACATAAAAAAGTTGTTCTAGACAGTTTGAAAAATCGACCATATTTTGCCCTCAAGAATGCATCATTTTTCGAGCAAGTAAATTTGAGCAAGTAAACTTCTCATTCTGCACAGGGCGGACCAAATTTTTGAATACTGTGAATTGTTGGGGTGATGCCTCACAATCTTTTGGACCCATCATCCAGGCGTGGCGATATCCGCAAAAGCGATGTCAGCTGCAAAAAGAGTTGCACTCAGAGGCAAGTTCAAGAGCTTGTAATTTTTGAGCCAAATCGCAAAACTCGAATGCAGCTGCGGGTCAGAAATTAACAGACTCCTCAATCAGCTTATGATTTTGACGAAATTCTTTGAAAGGCGCAAAAAATGGCCCTGAAAGAAAAATTGTGAAATTTTTATGGTTGGGAAGATTTCCCTTTTTAAAGTGCAAATCAAACACGTTTTGGCATCTATAAAAATCACAGGCGGTTTTAAAATTAGGCTTCCCTTCACTGAAGATTATATAAAACATAGTGTCAAAGTCCTACCGAGGTTCAAAAAAATGCGTTGAAAAGGAAATTTCCAAAAGTGCCTGGGAAATTTCTTCACAACCTAGCAAAACCGAATCAAAGTTTAGACTGATGATAAAGAACATTTGATATACATTCAAACCATGCGAGGGCGCTTCTACTATCATTACGAATTGACTTGTACTTCGGAATCAAATGAGGTCTTTTTGATGGAGTCTTATACAAATTTTGTTGCCCAATGATAAAAACTTACAAAGAACCGCAATGCTTCTCATTAAATCATGAATGCTACACTGTCTTAGCACTTCTCAGTTATGTAAGTTCATCACATTATACAGGTCTCGCAATATCATATTCCCGCTCACAAAAAAAGGAATGCTGGATGTCTTCTAAAAAAATCACTTTTAAATTTGGCTTTTCAAATCACTCGTCAAACATAATGATCCAGAAACATGAGGGGCAAAATTTTTGATAAAGACGCTTAGTTATTAGGTGCAATAAGTTCTGTCGCATATTTTAATTTAGTTTTTTCTTCATATTTTGGGCTGGATAAAGCATACATATGCATTAGAAAGCTCTCAGTTTTCTCTACTCATTTTTCAAGTCGTTCTCCCAGTCTGAGAGAATTTCGAAAAATTCTTAGCTTCAAAACGAAAAATCCAAAGAGGCAAAACAGTTTTCGACAACTGAATTACAGTAGGTCCAAATAGGTCAGCAGACCTGAAGAGCTGAAAAAATTTGCGAACGGGATGGAAAGATTGCCATAGCTTTTGCAAACTGCTCAAAAGTTCTGAAATCATCTTGAAATTCAATTTATACCCTAGATAAGAATTTCCTCTCAAGTGTCCCTTCATCGTCAACGTTAGTCCTGAGAGACAAGGTAAGCGGGACATTTCCGGAATTGGCATAAAGGGATGTTTTATCACAAAACCATCGAATTTCTCGGTTATCTACTTGAAAATAAAAGTCCAAAGGACACACGACATAAGTAAGCGAGACGACTAACGCCATGGCGAAAACGCGTTGCTTCCCCGAGTTTTCGAAAAATTTGCATTAAACTGTTGGTAAAGGGAAAGAAGCAGGCATAAATGGTGACAGTGCTTTTATAATTGATTAATCTGCGTTTTCGAGTGAGTTTTGTCAGTGGAAAATAAGAGAAAATGGAAAGGAAAAAGACGAAAACGGATTTTTTGCCTTTCTGGATGTTTTGAAGCCAAGAATTTTTTTAAAATTTTTTCAGACTAAAAAAAGAAGTATAAAAAATGAGTAGAGGAAACTGATAGCTTTTTGACACACATGACTTTATCGAACACTGCACATACTATAGAAAAAAACGAAATCAAATTGGGTCAGAACATATTACACAATCTAATATCCTCAAACTTTATTTTAGAGCACTCATTTTAACGCCCTGACAGTAAGTTGTATTGGGAGATTCTATAGCAACTCTACAGCAATGGTAAGGGACGATGTCTTCTAAGCGTTTGTACTTGGCGTAGTTTAGCGCTTTGGACCAAAAGTAAATTTAGCATATAAAGCATCGTACAATGTTTGAAGTATTTCGCACATCTCATTGAAAACAGTGTCCCGGCAAGTTCGCGCTCTATGGGATGTAGCTGTGAGTGGGGTCTCTGCTCGTCCCACTGACCTTCAGGCCCAGTCCGGCTGGTTGATGTTACCCCTGCGTCGAGAAAATAGGGGTCTGTTGCAAGAGGAACGATAGATTGCCAGCCGCTGGTGGCAATGCACTATTTGCCTTCACAATTCGCAAATTGCAAACTTATAAAAAATAATAGATAAGAAATTAATGCTCTACGCAATTTACTCAATAAGTCTTGCTCAAATCTTTTCCTTTTTCCACATTTTCAGCTAATTTTTACACCTCATTTTAAGCAAACACAATCTATCCAATTTACCTCTCTAGATAAAAGCATAGAAGAAGGAAATGCTCGAAATTTTTGTGTGCTGGCGGATGAAATTGACATTGAAGTATGCGCGAGTTATTGACACCCATTGGCTATCGTTCCTCTTGCTCGCCGCCGAGAAAATAGCCCTCGTTGGCGCGCGCAATTCCAATCGGCGCCCCTCGGATTGCTTTGCCAGCTATTCGATGCGGGTCCCACTCTCCCGTGCTACCCAAAGCGAAGATTACGGGCGGCAGAGTCTTCGTTCCAGGGCCTCCCAAACCCTTTAAAACTCTCGACCGAAAAATTGTGTAAAGCCCAAAAAGGTCATTTTACCCAGCTCAAAGTTCAAATTCGGTCTACGTGTCGAACCTAAAATATGCAAAAAAGTGAAAATGCAAAATCTGCCGGGGCACTGCCTGTGTATTCATAGGGAAGGAAGGGGATTCGAGAGGCGACGCGTCACTATTCGCTACTTTAAATATCTGAATTCTTCTTTTTCTTTGCATGGCACTGTTCTGTCTTCCATTATACTATTAAGGCACGTAAACTTTCATACAACAGATGAACAAAAAATAATACAGATACCTAAAGTTGCGTCCCTCTCAGATCCCCTCCCCTCCTCCGTGAAGACGTATGTGCACACGGCCTAAGCATCTTTCATGGTTATTATTTAGTCCTCTGAGGTATGGTGGAATGAACTGAAAGAGTATGGCGTCGGTCGCTCTAATAGACTAACAGAAGCGCTTTGGAACAGGCCTAATACGCTTATTGGACATTACACCCAGGTAATCTCCTCGTTGGAAATTTTGCAAGGTTATCGCCGGAGGTTGATTTTTCAAGATGGCTTGGGGAACGAGTTACAAGCTTGGATGTGCTGTCGTAGCTTGTCCTACATTTACATATGCCGTCTGCCAATATGGACCAGCGTATGCCTTAATAATCTTTATTACATGAGTAACGTTGCAGACGTTTCAGTGGCAATTACTTCGGTAGGCTCATTTACTCGATCGGTGAACCGTGCAGCGGATGCCCTGGAAAGTGCAGCAAATCTGAAGGATTATGCATTGTTTAGACATCTCAAATGAAGTTTTTTAAAACATAAATCACGGCGGACATGTAGCTTATTAAGTATGCAACAGCAAGTCCCTGCTTGTGGAGCGTTCAAGCTGAGATGGAAATTCTTGAGAGCGCGATAAACACCCTATTAAGAATTCAACTTAGAACAAAAACTTTACGTCACTATATGTATTGAATAAGCTTTCTTGGATTATTTGCATGGTCGCTAAATCCTTAGTAGTACAAGAGAAATACTAAGCTTAGAAAGATCGACTCAAATGCAAATAAAGATTTCCAAGTTATGCTCAGAAAAAGTAAGTCGGCAGGCTGATTTCGCGCTCTCCGCTCGTAAGATTGTAAAATGATCATGAAGTTTTTGACAGGACGCATGCTTGTCTCATATTTCGACATTGCGTAATCTATTTGCAAAGAATCAAAGCGAGAAAGTAAACAACAACTTGTGCGTCATTGGTTTCCTGATGAAAAGGCTAAAAATCAGTGATCTTCTGTGGCTGCTTTCCTCCTTCCATTATCTGATTAGGTGTCGCATGAGCTGATCAACCCCCGTGACCCACAGAAATAAACGAGCATACCATTGCTGAAAACACGCACCATTAAATGTTATGTCGATCCGTAAATTTGCACATGTATTTGCTACGATATGAGGCTTAGGTTGTCGAACACCCTATTTAAGTAAAAAAACATTCGAGCAACGTTGAACATACAGGAAGCGTCCAAAATTTCGTCTCAAGATCAGCCTCATTTTAGAAGTCATATGTCAGTTACTGCAACCTATAAACTTCTTGTGGTTGAGATATTTAACTCCAAACTTTCGCACATATGCTTTTTTTTTCAATGGGACCTGCTGCATGCATCATTTAGATGAGACTCGGAAAGAGCGCGTTTTGATCGAGGGTGGGATTGAATTTCTTGTATGTGCTGCCCTCTTATTGTTAGGCGCTAAACTGAGGGCTTCTCTATACCCAATAAAGAAATTCAGCTAACCTTTAAACGTCTCCCTCAGGCGTCCCGCTGGTAGTGATAAAAACAAGAGGAAATCAACTATAGTAAGCCATTCTTGTTGCTCATTCCTGAAATCTTGGCAGTGATCTGGAACGAATCCAAGGCTCCTAGCCGAGATCTCTTTTATAGAAGTTATAATTGTGACTTTGATATAAAAGTCATCTCCACTATGCATTTAGTGCCTTTGTCTGCTAAGTGGCGAAGCAAAATTCTTGCGCCTTTTACCAGCCAAATGCTCTTTGATGCGAATGCCGATCATGCTACTGTTTCCCCGATATAGCGTGCATTACACTTCAATGACATTCAAGCTATACAAGTTCCACTTTTGCACAGTCTCCCACTCCACCGTGCGGGCATAGCATGCATTGCTCCTTGTCGCAGCATTGATGGTAGATCCTTTTACCCACAAGCTCCTTTTTGATATTATCGTTTGGGACATTCACTAACATAACAACACCTTGTAGCTGCGCACAAACGATGCCTTTTTGGATGGCTGCGCTGGTCTTATCGGAAACAGAGTCGAGGTTTGTCATCAGCTCGAGTGTTGTTGCCATTTGTTCGGTGGTGAGTGTGCGATGAAGAATGGTAACCATTACTGCAAGCTATTTGGGTAGCTTGTTCTCGTGACTCTCATCGTTCATCCTCATCTGCATTGCGGTTTGATTACCAACAGCAGCACTATCAACAGAGGCGGGTTATGCACATTTTATTAGGTTGGCACATAAGTTTTGCAACTTTTCCCGTAACTTTTTTCCTATTTTATGTAGCAATCCCATTTTGTGGCATCGTGATGTAAGCTGCAAGACTGCGCAAACCGTTTGATTTTTGATAACGTAGTGCAAAAAATCTAAGCATTTTTTGAAAACTGCTGAAAATCGAGGTTTCACTATTTTTTGGCAAACATGAAGCCCTACGAAACCTGATTCAAACATATGAAAAAGTAAGTAAGGCAGCATGTAGCCGGATGTTGGCACATTGAAACCTATGAAAAAGAAATGAAATTCAAACACAAATCAAGGCGGGGCGCCTTTGAGAAGTTGAACAAGTCAAATGCGTCTAGTTTCGAAGGCAATTTGTCAACAACTAAGCTGCGAAAAGTCAGAATTCGCTATAACTTTGCACTATAGGGTAATCCTATGCGGTAAACACGAATATCATATTCATTTGTCGCTAAAATGAAATTCATCTTTTGATCTCACGAACGAGGCTTTTTCATGCGAAACGGATCTCATTTTTGTGATCATCATGTCAAATAAGCCCTTTAGGTCAAGTTTCAGCAAAATCTGATGCATTCTAGAATTTTTCCCATAGTCCCGTAAACCTACCGTAATCCTCACATAAGATGGTAAAATTCGGCAAAAATGTGTGCTTTAGAAGCTTACATCATATCTTATATATAAAGCTGAATGTCTGTTTGTCTGTCTGTCTGTCTGTCTGTATGTCTGTATGTGTGTACGTATGTTCCGAATAAAAAATTCCATCTCTGAACCGATCCGGACCAAACTTGGCACACATACACATCGGGCCCCGGCGGGTGTCATAGGCCACTTTTCGTCATCGATCGATATCGATTTTATCGATTTTTTTGCAAAATTCGAGCTACGGAGCTGGAGTTGGCACAGGGGGGTAATCGAGCATGCTGATCACCCCCGGCACACATACACTTCGTGCCCCGTGGGGCCGGGGCACGAAGTGTATGTGTGCCAAGTTTGGTCCGGATCGGTTAAGAAATGAAATTTTCTATTCGGAACATACGGCGGAGCCGGGTAAGCCAGCTAGTTCCTTATATTGCCAAAAAATGAATGCGCTACGTTCAAATAGACAAAAGTTATGTAAAAAGTTGCATTACTTATGTGCCAACCTAATACAATAATAATGACTCTAACAACGCCAGCAATCTCCCTTACTTGGGCGTTGAAGTAAGGCAGCCATCCACTGCGTGCTATTTCACGTGTGAGCTGGATGTAGTGTGATGTTGGTTAAGATTTCTAAAACACTCGTTATTTCGTACTGTGTTAAACTTGCAACACAGCAACGCAGCACACTCATTGATGTAACGACGGTAATAGATTTACGCGCACTAGTTTCGGTTCCTCAGTTCTGCTCACAAATGGGTCATTCTAATCCACGTGTCTAGGAGTAATAAGTTCTAAACCATAAAAAAATTACAGTGTAGGCATTCTTTATCAAAGCTGTGCGCTTTGCTGGGTCCAAACATTTTCATAGTATCAGTATGCCTAAACATTTCCGATAATGCTTGCAGAGCCTTGTCATTCCGCACATAAATTAAAGAGACGCTACATCAAACGGCTCAATTACTTGCTCGGATCAAACTAAGCGTTTTGAGGGTGTTCGATAAACCAGTGAGAATTGGATAAATGCGTTACTGGTACTTTCGTTAGCAGCTGGCTCACGATCTTATTGGGGTACCATGAAATTTTAGCAGTGGGCTAGCTCGACAAGCTTATGGATCTTCAGAAGGTTGTGAAAAACTGATTAGCATGAACTTGAATCAGCTTTTGAGACTACCAGCAAGCCCGGCATTTGCAATCGTAGTTCAAGAGTCATTATGATTTTTCTTTATCACTATGATTTTTCTACATCGAGTTCGATATAGTGTTTTTCAAGACCAATGCATACGTTGCAGCGTCTGCGAGATGGTCAGCTGGTATTTGACGTTCCAATTCTGCGTAACTACCACAGATTCGCCACCTTTGTCATCCTGATTTAACTTCTAAATTCTAAGCCACAAAAGTTGGGATCCTTGAGAAATTTTGCAAGGCGGCGGCTAAGGCGTAAGGCATATTTCCTGCCATTCTGCCAAAACCTATATCCATGCGACTTGGTGATTCGCCAAGTTTCAGCAGATTGCTTGCGCGTGGCTCAAAAGCATGAACGCATAGCTGTCGTAAGTTTTCCCAAACATATCAAGTATGGCTCAGAAGCGTGCGCTCTGAAGAGTATTACCGTGCCAGATAGCAAATCGTTACTGTGCCATTAAAATCGACAAAGCTCTGCCCTAAGCCTAACGCAAGCATCTTCTTTGAAGATTCTGCCGCGCTCTCTGGGTAAAGCCCATCGACCAACACTGTTCATAAGACGCAAAATCTGTTTCTAGTGTCCACAGTCTATTCTCTCTTTGAGTAACCGGTCCGTTGGTGTTTTGCTTTCGCGACATACTGCTGGGTTATTTTGATGGGGCATTTGCTCATATCCGTATCCCAAAGTCCAAAAAGAGTTGCAAGTGCAGGCTTAAGCATTAGTGGGTGATCAGCAGAGCTTTGGAATCGGTTGCAGCAACAGTTAAAGGCAGCGTTCACTCAAAATCCTGCTACTCACAAGGAAAGGATACTAACTCAGATTCGCCTTTTGAGATGAGACGCATACATTTGAAATCAGCTTTGAACGCTGATTCCAAATATGTTGTTTCTACCTCCTTAGCGTTATTCCGGAGCGAGTTATGGGCTTGCCGTTGTGAGTAGATACCAAACTTCTGAATGTTGTAAGACAGCGTATAGATGAGATTCTGCTCGAAAAAACTGTTAATGTTGAACTAACATTAAATCAACTCTGTCGATCTTGAAAGGGAGCATTATACAAGTGCAAAACCACCTAAACGTTCACACCGTAGCACCCGTAGCTCGAGGAGCACGCAAACTTTGCATAGAAAAGAGATCATAACTCGCTTTAGAATAATACTAAGCAGCTAGGAACAGCATATTTGAAATTAGCGTTCCAAGCTGATTCCAAATATATGTGTCTCATTTCAGTAGGCGAATCTACGTTAGTATGCTTTCCTGTCAGATTACTGTACATTGTTTAAGAATACCCCAAATGTAGATCAACTGTTGGTCCGGTCTCCCAGTGTTGCCTCCTAGAGAGGAAAATAGGCCTGGGGCTGCAGAATCATGCGTTACTCCACCTTTCTTGCGCTCCGCCCATCCATGGACGATTTCCTAACGCGTTTTGACGTGGCAAGCATAGTTTAGGCGCTCGCTGTACGAATATATTTTTGGTGCATACGTTACATGCAACGAGAATAATGCCAGAACACTCGTCCACGCTTGTCGAAACAAAGTTTCAGAAAAGGGGTTTTTTGGAGTTTCCACGTTATTTGCACCCCATATTGCGAATCAGGACCATGGAAAGGCCCAAGAATGATGAAAATATCAAAGACAAAATTTTGGGTGGACGATGCCTTCGAGGTCGCAGCTGCGTAAGGGATCGCAGGCAGAATAATTTGAGAAAGGGGTTCCAAGCTTCAAGTTCCAAGTTCGTTACTTGGTCAATGGCTTCTCTCAAACTTCGCCATAAACATCCTTGGTTTTAAAACGAACAAATACTTTTCTACAATGCCACGACGCTTAAGGAAGTCTCAAAATTAGAGTTTTCTTGCATTATGTGGTAAAACGAAGCCAAGATCTCATACTTAAATGTTCATGTTAAAAGTGCGTATGATTCACTTAAAGCAATGTGAGAATTTTATGACCGGCTTGGAAATACTTCTAGCTTATGTCCGTGTCAAACACATATTTAGTAACTTCCTCTGTTAAAATATCTCTCTTCTCCTCCTGTGCTCCGATCTTCAGATGGGCACCTAGAATAGTTTGGGTCTCAGTTTAAACTACTCAGCGGAAGATTCCTTGTAGGTTTGCAGTTACTGGGCTCTTCTTTGTTTTTTAACTGTTTCTAAGTTGTACTGTCTGCCTTGACCCCCCCCCCCCTAACCACCAAAAAATTCAATCAAACCTGGCTGCACCAAATAAAACGAAATTAATCATCATCATTAAGATTTATGTTTACCATAATCAGTGCTACATGACTTTACGTTTTCCTTTTCTGCTGAAGCTTCGTGAAGAAAAATTTCGATATTTATTCGAAAAGATGATTAATTGTAGATTGCTGCTTCTTGTAAAAAGAAAGATATGGAGTTGTGTATTGAAAAGTAAATCAGCAGAATTTTTGTTCATTTGATTGGATGAATTTTTGTAAAATACTTCCGTCCATGCCACAAAAAAAATTCAACCAATATCACCCCCTATAGAAAGAGTCAGACGTGCAAAAAATTTTATTTTTGTTGTAAGGCCTTCGAAATCACCAATCACTCTAACAGTAACCCCAAACATATGGAATATCTTGGAAACCGAGGAAAACATTATCAATGATGCCGTGAGATCCATTACCATTCCAGATTTTGACGGTCAGGTTCGCTACAGTTTTTAATCATTTTCCACAAATGCTTATATATGTTTTCCAGCAAGATTTGGTAAAATACCGTATATAAGATGGCCGAATTGACTATTTTTGTCTACCAAAGACGGGTGCATCTTTTCAGGACATGAGCAATGGTGTACGACTCAGCGTAAGTAAAAGACAGATTTGAGAAATTTGGCATATTTTTAGCAACCTCTATTTCCAGCTATTCCAACGCTTTTTTGCAGCTGAAAAGTGTACAGTTTCGAGTCACTGGCAAGGGTAAAGTGGAGTTGGGTAATAAAGTTTTTGGAAAATGGGTACAAATAGCTCGAATGAGCGGAGATATTAAGTAAGCAATTATTTTAAAACTTTCTTCTTTATAATATTTTTTATTTTATCTAATTCTTAGTTTTTCAAAATATTAGATTGTCCCGAAAGTTCTGTCCGTTTTTTTCATCGCTCACTAAATCTCACAGAACATCAATCCATGGACGACTTAGGTGCCATTCGATTATTTTTGTCCTCTTTTTTACAGCTATTTTTGCTTTATGGTTTACCCTGTACAGTCTGCTCCAATCGGGATCAGACCGAACCGTCGGAGTAAATTTGCGCGCTCGCAGCGCTAGCGGTCTGCGCAGCATGTGCGCGCTGTCGGAGAGAGCAAAAGGATTGGAGAGAGAGCAGAGAAGCAGGCCGTGGGCGTGACCGCGAAACCCTTGCGACGCGGACTCCCGCCATGCCAATTTTGGCCTGGTTAGGTTTGGGGCAGACTGTATTTGCAATGTTATCGCCACGGCATTTTGAGCAGCTCAGCAGTAACGCCAAATTTTCCTGATTTTTTAAAAATTTTATTTCGGTGTTTTCAAAAAGCGCTGGTAAGTGTTATTGAGAGCAAACCCTTGGCTACATTGTAGTCATTCTAGTTTACAAAGTTTGTTATAATTATTTATTCAATAAAAACCGCGGCTTTATGATTACGTTTATCACGTAAAAGTACCGAAACTTCCAAAATGCTGCTTTTTTGAAGCAAATCAAACTTGGTAATGTTGCATAAACAATGTTCAATAAGAATTATGTTTAGATTTCCAGAAACTTCAAGAGCTTTCGTGTATTTGCTCCAGTTGTGTGTTTCATGAATTCGTCAGAAATCGAGACCTCAGAAGAAATAATTTTGAAGTTAAAAACGGCAAATTAGGAGAATCTAAAAACAACGGCTTTTAGTCCGAGAATTGTACTTGATCAATACTTAATCCTCTCCAAAACTTTTGACTGAAATTTTCGAAAATTAGCCTAACTTTGAGCAGATAAAATCGACGGGTGGAGAATTTTGGAAATTATTAAAAAAGCATACAAGATTGCGGCTCGAAAATGTATCCTTTAAAAAAGGAAAAGTTGCATCAAATGCATGTTGAAACTCATTTAGGTCTTCATTGTGAAAGGTTTTATAATGCTTTGAAAAAACGGACAAATCTTTCGGGACAACCTATGTAAGAAATTACTTGTTGATAATCCAGTGCAACTTGCGAAAATGCTGATGTGGACATTACCCTTGTCTGGAATACTTCACATTTACGCCGAAGTAACCGTTAATTCAGACTTTCACATAGAGTTTACACACCATCTGAGAAATCTGGACTTCCTCAAGCGAGAAATACAGAAGAGGAGTTAGAAGTAAGGTCAATAATGAACTACCGCAAAAGGTATGTATATACAACTGAGCTCGTTATATTTCACAAATACACATTTACAGATTGCCGAAGTAGAAAACAAAGTCAACCCACGCTTACAGAAATTCAAGGAGAAAATGATTGCTAAAGGTTACGGTGACTACGATATCGAATGGAATGTGGAGAACAACGCCCTTCAAATCTGCATCAACTAAGTGACGTCAGAGTATAGTATTTATGCTGTGTTTTTCTGTAGTTTTTCTGTGTATGTTTGCGTTGGAAAACGTGACATTCATTCAAGTTTTGCATATGTAAAAATGAGGAACTTGACTGAAATTCAGCCTATCCGTATATGCATATACGCTGAAAATTGAGAATTTTTACACTTACTACAAGACGAATTGAAGAACAATTTTGATTACCTTACTCAATATTCAAAAGAAGAGTGAAAGAAACTGAAGGCCCTCAAATCATAGAAATTATTAAGTAAGATTTGGAGGAAGAACTGCTTGATGGAAATAATAACAAGAAAATATGTTGCTGTGCAGATTTGAAATTGGAAAGAACAATGCTTCATCATGTCCGCATACAAGATTCAAAAAATGATTAGGCAAAACACTTGTATAATACTTCTAACTCTTGCTGAACGCTGTTCTAATATGTAAACAACCACTCGTTTTTTTCACTTTATACTATCGTTCAATCATTTTGGCTCCGCATTGTTTATCCTGAGTTCAGCAGACTCCATACGGCACATAGCACACGCAAATCTTGTTTTCTTTTCGTGCTTGATTAAGAGCCTACCAAGCTTATATTATGTGTGCCAATGCGGGTCTCCGTGATTATAAGGATAAACTTATCAAACTTTCACATTCATCATTCTCGCATGGCCGTGAGCGGTTGGCATTTCTACTCTTTCTCTCCCATCTTCCGCTTTCATCGTACAATTGCAATTCTTTCAATATCCATTTCTTATTAACGTTTCTTTTGTGTTGTTTGAGTCCTCAGAAGAAACTTTGAGAACAGAGTTGTTTGCTTTGGTTTTGATCAACCTTCCAACAGCGTCCGTCCTTCACTGAACCTTATTTGAACTCAATTCGTCTATTTTCTCTGGATTTTTCCCACTGAATTCAATGGACCTATGTTTGATCGCATTTGTATTTAGTCCGGTTTCGTTAGTAGTCGCTTTGCAAATCTCCTTTCTCCTTTCGTTTACCCCAGATCCAAGCTATGCCTGCAAAAAGCACGAAATCTCAGCGCCAAAATAAAAGAGATGGTCTAGCAGATCCTCTAACTCAACGCGATAATATCAATATCACTTCACAACTTCCCGGCTCAATTTCGCAGAACGGGTATGGTAACAACGTGGTCCGACAACAATTTTTCAACTATTCAAAAAGCTGTTAGACCTCAACATACCCGAGGTAAGTGATATTACGAATGAAATCCTACTGCGTTTGGGCGAGCTTGGAGATGGGGCGGTCGAGAGGGATGTTAGGCAGAGAAGCATCGTGATTGCTGGCCTACCCGAACTTATGGGAGAAAACGGTCAGAAAGCTTCTTTGGCGTCTGAGCGTCAAAATGATACCGAACAGAAGGTTCGTGGAGTTCTTGACGTTGGATATCGAATGTAGACCTTTAAGAGTTTTTCGTATGGGCAACAGAGTGACTGACAGGCTACGTCTTGTAAAGGTTGAATTACCCATAAGAAGTCATTGGACTTCTGCTCTCTTACGTGCCAGACTGCTCCTAGACTCCCCGACTTTCAAGGGAGTCTACATAAGAATGAGCATGACAGCGCTGGAGAGGGAACAAAAGCGTGGTTTGGTCTTCGGGAGCAGGCCAAAAGAATGAACCAGGGTAGAAGTTTTGAAGATCGATTCGTAGTTTATAAAGGTGAGGTAGTTCTTGCTAGCTCACTTTCACGTAAAAATACGTCTTCTTTACAAAATTTAGCAAATTCTCACCGCCAACCTTCTGTAGCACGCCAGAAAAACTGAATAACTCGCAAGGTGAAAAAATCTCTCAAATGTTACTTATTGTACGCAAGATCGTTACAAATTAAATTATCCCATTTGCATCATTTTTTGATCTCTGAATTTCCTGATGTTCTTTTCTTTACTGAAACACGGTTATCTTTTAAAATAACTGATGCAGAAATTGTGTTTGACCTACCATATACCATCTTTCGATGTGATAGAAGACATAGAAGAGGTGGTAGAGTTTGTACATTTGTTAGGTCGATGCTTTTATGTGAAAAAATCGAAATAAACACCAATTACAACTGTGCAATCTCAGCAAGCGATCTCTACCATCCTCGATCGCTTGCCAAACTTCGAATGTTATGTATTTACCGCCCTACGAGTTCCGATCCTGACTCTGATACTATTCTCTTGGACCTGCTTTTGGTTTATGCTCTCGCTTCTACCGAAGTCTTGATTGTTGGTGATTTCAACCTCCGCATAAGATGCCCCCAAGATTTTCACTTTAGTAATCAATCAGCAACCAACAAATTTTTCGAAATCTTTCAAAGTCTAAACCTACATCAATTCGTAGATGAACCGACACGTGAAGAAACCATTCTTGATTTGGTCCTTGCACATAATCACTCTATTGACAACTTGTCAGTCAAAGCACCCTTTGGAACCTCTGATCATAATATAATTGAATTCCTTTACAAATTCGATATTCCAAAGGCTACAGTACCGCTCATAATTCGTCAAAAAAGTCGCCGGACTGCGGCGGACTCCGCCGGAGTGCGGCAGAGTGCCTACACTCCACTAGAGTCCGCCGGAGTGCGGCAGAGGTGCGCTACACTCCACTAGAGTACGTCGGAATGATCGTCACATCGCCATTTCTCGCTACAGAATGGACGAATTCTGAATCCGAGGACACCGTTCGATTCATCGGCGAGACGCATCATCTTACATATGAAGCTGAAAGTCTGTTTGTCTGTTTGTCTGTACGTATGTTCCGAATAGGAAATTCATTTCTGAACCGATCCAGACCAAACTTGCCCACATACACTTCGGGCCGCGGCGGGTGTCATAGGCTACTTTTCGTCATCGATCGATATCGATTTTTATCGATTTTTTTGCAGGGTTCACCTACGGGGCTGGGAGTTTGCATAGTGGGGTGATCATGGGGATTTCAAATACACTATTAGTTTTAAGGATTATCGATTACTTTCATCGATTTTATCGTTTTTTTTGCAAAGTTTGAGCTACGGGGCTGAGAGTTTGCGCAATCACAATGGTAATCGAGCATGGGGATTCCGAATACAATATTAGTTTCCAGAATTATCGATTATTATTTTGGTTGAATTCAGATTTGATCAGCGTATTGTACAAGCACTCACGGTGGAATTTCGACGAAATCTGCGATCTTTACATTTTGAGCAAAATTCATGAGAAGTGTTTTTGTAGGCTCGTAACTCGGCGAATTTTATAGAATGGAGCCTGAGTCGTGCGCCATTCGATAGCACATCTCCTAGTAATATTGACTAGAAAAGCAAGCAGGCAGGTTTTTTGACAGATATGTGAGAGGAGGAAGCGAAGTTACGAGCCTTCGTGAATCCGTTGCAGTCATCTCATCATATCTCTGCAAAAAGACCCTATACTTGACAGAAAACACGATTTTCATGAGCAGCGTGTTCGAAAACCTCCATGGGCGGCGTTTCTTTACAATTGAAGATCATCAACATTTTGACCAAAATCCACCGGCCAGCTTCAGAGCGACAGACAAGAAAAAATGAAATTGCCCAAACATCTCGGAAAACTTGTTCATAAGGGTTATCCGATCTGGTGATTACAAAACTCACATCTGCTTAGCAAGATAGCCCCGTATTCTAGGGTTGCGACGAGTAGAATTTGGGACAACAAGATTTTTTTTACGATTTACCAACCTTTCTACCTCCATTAGAAAGATACCTGTGACTACTTTTTAGCGCTGCGTAATCTACAGAAAAAGTACTATCGAAAGGTCCTTGCTGGAGTCTACCAGGGGCAACGCGCGCTGCTTTACACATTCGTCTGTCTACAGAAAAAAAAGACGTCTACAGAAAGATTTGAGAATATTGAAATCGGAATATCAAGGATATGCTGTATATCGAAAGACTTGCCTTGATGAATTGAGCACAAAGCTTTCTTCGGATTCAGAAAATGTTCATTCCGAAGGAAGTTACGGCGAGTAGAATTTAGAAACGCGTGATTTTTCCAAAATTCACCAACGCTTGTATCTATTTTGGAAGACAGTCTCCAGCTACTCTTGAACGCACGATAACCTACAAGGACAGTACTATCAAACAATGCTTACTGAAATCTTTTATGTTACACAAACGCTGCGTTACATCCTTGCGGAAGGACCTCCATAGAAAAAATTCGAAAAAACTGGAAACGGAATATCGAGAGCATACTGTATGTCAAAATATTTGCCTCAACGATCTGAACACAATGCTTTTTCCGGATTCGGAGTATATCCATCCCGAAGGAAGTTATGGCGTTGCGTATTCTGCGTGATTCGCATGGTTTCGCGGATCCTAAAATGTCGCGAACTTCCCGGATTATCGCGCACTCTGGCGGAAATCCCGGAATTCTGGGAAGTTCACGGAGATTTTGACATTCTGTGAGCGGTATTGTTCTTGAGCAGATCTTAGAACAAATTCGATTAGGCTCTCTACCATACTCCTTTAGTATATTGTCTATGTGCCATCAGCGACAGATCAATGGTAATACTGTATCAGCACACTGAATTCAACCAAAATAATAATCGATAATTCTGCAAACTAATATTGCATTCGGAATCCCCATGCTCACTTAACCCCCTGTGCCAACTCCCGGCCCCGTAGGTGAACTCTGCAAATAATCGATAAAAATCGATATCGATCGATGACGAAAAGTAGCCTATGACACCCGCCGCGGCCCGAAGTGTATGTGGCCAAGTTTGGTCCGGATCGGTTTAGAAATGAATTTTCTATTCGGAACATACGTACAGACAAACAGACAAACAGACTTTCAGCTTCATATGTAAGATGATGCGTCTCGCCGATGAATCGAACGGTGTCCCCGGATTCAGAATCCGTCCATTCTAAAGCGAGATATGGCGATGTGACGATCTTTCCGACGGACTCTAGTGGAGTGTGGCGGACTCTGCCGCACTCCGGCGGACTCTAGTGGAGCGTGACGCACTCTGCCGCACTCCGGCGGAGTCCGCCGCA